AAGAGCTGCATGGGAAACTTAGAGGTTAAATGACCTACCCATGGTCACACAGCTAGTATAGGTCAAGGTCCTAATTATTCCTAATTATGAGCCCTTTCACTACAGCCCCACTGCCTTTCATATTTGTATGTATTTGTACACAGTCATTTAGTGTTACAGACCAATAATTCTCAAAGCGTGATTCAGGAATCCAATTTAGGGGGTCTGTGAGGTCAAAACTATTTTAATCATAACAATAATATTTTATATGGTAAATATTGATAGATATAGCCCATGTAAACAAAAGCTTTGAGGAATGGGGGAGGGGTTATCCTCAATAATTTAAAAAGTGTAAAGGAGTCAGGGGTGGGGAGGAAAGCTTGAGTACTGTGGCTACAGATAGATCTATGAACGCTTAGGGGGGAAAAAACAGGACCATGACTTTATCAATGAAGAAATTCTAAATTGCAATTTATGATCTTAGAGGATTGCCAGGGGTATTATGAAGTTAAGTAACTTGCCTAGAATTACAGTCAGTATATATCTTGGCCAGCATTTGAATACATGTTTTCTTAAGTACAGAGAACACATGACCTAACCAGGCTTTCTCCACTCATTAAACAACTAGGTGGCACAGTGGATAGAGCACTGGGCCTGAGTTCAAATTTAGCCTCAGACGCTTATTAGCTGTGTGACTCTATGGGAGTTATTTAACGTCTGTCTCTTGTAACCTGAACAGGAGCAGATATAAAGTACTCTGGCATTCAAAGCCCTTGGCAATCCAGCCCCCTCCTAACTTTGCAGTCTTCTTACATCTTATTCTCCACCACATACTCTTTGAGCCAGTAACACTGGCCTCCTGGCTGTTCCACAAACAAAACACAAACAAAAAATCTCGGCTCCGGGCATTTTCTCTGGCACTCCTCCATGCTGGGAATGCCTTCCCTCCTCCACTCTGACTACTGACCTCCTTGATATCCTTTAAGTATCAACTTCAATCCTACCTTCTACTGGAAACCTTCCGCACTTTACTTAATTTCAGTGCTTTTCCTCTGTTAGTTATTTCCTATTTATCCTTTATATCGATTGCTTTGCATGCTATATATTTGGCATATATTTACTTGCATGTTGTCTCTCCCCATATATTGTAAGCTCCTAAAAGGCAGGGGCTATCTTTTGCCTCTTTTTGTATCCCCAGCATTTAGCATAAAATGTTTATAGATGAGCCAAACGAGTAATAATTGTAAAGCACTTAGCATAGTGCCTGGCACATAGTAGGCACTATATAAATGTTAGTTGTTATTATTATTATTATTACAATGTCCTTTGGTGGAAGCATGGCAAGTAAGAACAGAATCACTCGGAACAAGAGCTCACAGTTTTATTAGTAGAGATTTGGGAGGGGTAGAGGGAATGAGGAGGGCACTGTTTTTGGCAGAGAAAATCAGTATTGGGTGGAGTAAGGAAGAGATATAAAGGTATATAGAGGAGAGACAGTGGTATAATAAATAAAAACAACAACAACAACAAAAACCTTACTACTCTAGAAGACTGAAGAACTAGGTTTAATCTAGGCTGTACCACTAACTTTATGACTAGACAAGTTACTTCACTTTTTTGAGCCTTAGCTTCCTCATCTGTAAAATGGGAATGATCATATTTGTTCTTTCTGCCTCACAGGGTCATGACAACACTTGAAGAGCTAGAAAAAAAAATGAATATTCTGAAGTTAAAATTCTGCTGTGTGAACTAGTTTTAGAAAACTATACTCAAGCTGCTTTCTTTTGAGCGATTAAATCATGCAGTTTCCAGAGTGGGTGAAAATGAAAGAGAAGGCTTAGAGGAGCTTCTTCCAAAAATAATAATAATAATAATAATAATAATAATAATAATAATGATGATGATGATGATGATGATGATGATAATGATAAACTAGTAAGAATAATAGCTAGCATTTATATAGTGCTTTAAGATTTGCAAAGCACTTAACACAGGTGATCTCACCCGAGAGATTGTTAACCTCAAAATGAAAGTACCATAAGGAACACATAGTACACAGAGCAAAAGTTTTTTTTTTTGTTTGCTCATCTTTTCAAGGAACCTGCAGGTGTGCGTGCAGCCAGTCACTCTTCCTGAGGTCAGATAAATGCTATCTAAGCCACCAGCAAAGATCCAGTGTATCTCATTGCACTAGAAGACCCATGTGGATTATAAGACTTTCTGGCTACAGAGGTGTGAACCACACAACTCACACAAAAGAAAACACCAAGACTTTTCCCCTGTGACTCAATATTAACTCCTTCAATAAAAAAAAAAAAGAGACAGAGAGAAAGAGAGAGACTACCTTATCGTGTTGAAGGAGTTAATGCAGCTGCCAGAGATGTCTAACACCATAGCAGGTAGTGAGTAGCTAAAATACAGGAAGAGTCTGGCTCATTAAAGGCACGTTCTTAAAGGCCACAGAGCATTTTGCTGTTGTGCCTATCTCTAGGACACCCTTGTTGGCTCCCATTAGGAGTGTATGAATCTGATGGGAAGGTTGTGGGAGACTTTCAGCAGATTGCAGAGGTGTTAAAAATAGATGTTAAGTTGCTAGTGGAGATACTTGGTGAATTCTCTACTTGCAAATTTCTGATTATAATATGTCAAGAGTAAAATACCTTGTCAGGAGTAGTATATAATATATAACAGTATTAGCTCTGTCAGCAAACTGATGCATGATATTTTTGAGCCCTACTTTAAATCTGAATTCAGCAGAAAATGTCCTGCAGGGAACAATCTTGGCCCTTGGGGATTTGACTGGATGACCTAATAAGTTCTCCGAACCTTTACTTTTCAGATGCTGTGGTAGCTCTGGGTGTATTCAGACTCACATTATATATGCTCTGTGCTATGTGTTAAATCATATGCATGCACTGCATGCAGTAGGAGCACTGGAAAATATGTAGTCACGTCATATGGGTGATTTTTCTTTCTTACCTGAACCTACTATTAGTTTTTCAAACTTGCCTGATGGGCTCCACTGTGACAGACTGAGCATTTGCACTGATACAGGCACTAGGCACTATGCTCATAAGTTAGGAGAACTTTAAAGATGCCCAAGGTATATACTCTAACCCATTCAAGACACAGTAGTGGCCAGCTCCCATAAACCTTCTATGCTACCCCTGAACCAGATAGAATCTTGGACTGGAGGGGCTGTATATTGAATTTATTCTATTCCTATATTCATATTCTGTGGAAGAGTCAACTCCTGACACAGACAGCTGCTTCTCTGAGGTCACAGTTGGAATTAGAGGAAGGCAGACACTTAAGAATTCCTTCTCCTGGCTATAGAGCCACAGTAATGTGAGTTACAGAGCTAGAAAGGCCCTGGAAATGATGCAGTTCTTGCTCCTTATTCTACAGATTAGAAAATAGACCAGGGAAAGCTATATGGCTTGTCAGGTGACACAGGAAGCAGAACAGGATTTAAACGCGGGTCTTCCGACTCCAATTTCATGATTTGTACTATATTACACCACCCCCAGACAATAGAAACATGTGACAGATAAGAAAAAAACAAGATCACAGAGAACAAAATACCTCCCCCTTTTAAATAAATAATGATTTTGTTTTGCTTTTTATTTTTATATTACATATGTCCCCCTTTTCCTCCCTTGCCCTTCTTTGTACCTTTGGCCCTCTGAATGGTGTGTAACACATAGAAGAAGCTTAATAAATGTTTGTTAGCTGGGCTGACCCTAATCAGCTTGCCACCCTGTATAACAAAGTTTTTTACAAGAAAGAGAGAGAAAATGCAATTTAACAAAATCAACAATGAACCGTATCTGATCATATATCTAATATTACAAATCCATGGTCCCTCACCAATGTAATGAAAAGAAGGAAAACACCTCTTACTTTTTTAGAAAGATATTTTTTTAAAAATCCATCTTAGAAGTTTCTATATTATTCATTTCATTGCAATTTCCTCCTGCCCACCTTCCACTGCACTATCTGTGTCTTTAACACAATACATATTGTCCCGTCCTTGATGATCTCTTCCTTATTTGTAGTACTGCAATATTTCAGTTTTGTATGATAATTTATATCTTATGACTCTTTACTGTTCTCTAGTTAGTTTTGGCAGAGTCATCTTCTCTTCCCTTTAGACTAAAAACTCCTCAAGCCTAAGTAACGTGGCTCCAACTTTTTTCTAGCCCTCAAAGCATGAAGCTGGACATAAAATACATATGTAATAACTATTTGCTGATATGACTTTATTCTATCCCTAATCGGAGACCACTCCTGCCACCATCACCATCATAAACAGCTTGAGTAAAACTAATGAATATAATCAAAATATCTCATTCACACTTTTTTTTTAACCATTTACAGCCAAAAAGAGGAATGAAAAGTGGTAATCCTTAAATCAGAAAGACCACTAATGCTACCAAAGAAATGAATACAATTCCAAAGCAAAATGATTTTAATCTTTAATTGGATACGTTTCCAAGTACAAAAGCAGTGTACATTTGATCCTCAAATCAGAAAGGCCACAGATGCTACCAGCAAAGAAGTAAAGACACTTCCTAGCCAAAACGATCTCAGCCTCTAATTGGATAAGTTTCCAAGGACAGAAAGCACTTTGTTTTTACATCTAGACAGAAGAAATGAGGAGAATGGAAGCAAATGCTTTGGTCCAAGTGGGATGACAAACTCCTAGGCAGAGAGGATATAAAAGGTGATGAGGGGGAAAAAAAAAAGGCTGACCAATTTTCAGTGGTGAATGGCTTATCTGTGAAAAACACACAGCCTAGTACTTGGAGCACCAAGGCATAATTCTTCAGGAAGTCCACTGTGATCTTCCAGAGGATAATTAACTCTTCCAGGCTATTGAGCGTGAGGAGATAACACCCTGGTGCCAGAAATAGGACCCCTCTGGCTAATAAGCCTCTCACTGTGGACCTCCCCAGGTAAGCAAGCTCAAGGTCACGCCCTCTCCAAACCATCCGAGAAGATGAAAGGACTACACTTACTGTGGCTGTGCCGGAGACAGTCTGCGCACTCGTGTCCGTGGCACTCTGTTCAGAATGCGTCTGCGCTGGAGGGTACATGTTTAACGTGTGCTCTGGGACTGTAGTCTGGCCTGTGTACTCTGGAGCGGGATGAGGATGGGGAGCCGTATATTCTGCAGGGATGCCATTCTGAGGGGGAGCAAACTGGGCGGAGGCATAAGGCTGTGCCATTGTGTCAGGAGCTGCTGTAGCTTCCTGATTACCCTGGAAAGCAAAAGGAAAAAGCAACATCAGTCAGGAGCCACATAGAAACTTCTCCAGAATCGAAAGAGAATTAAGGGCCCAACATCAGCTTCCCCTTAAGGACTGTGTCCTGTTTGATCCTGAAGAGCCCAGATTATAATCCTGACTTGGAACAAGTGAATATGCAGTTTTCTACATGATAGTCAATTCTTAATTTCATAGTTAAAGTGCCACAAAAGATCAAATGAAGTGGCATCCCTGAAGGACTTGACATACATGGGTGTGTATATTGTACAGAACAAACACTTCCACTAAGCATATGAGTCCACTCAAGGTTTTATATTACTCAGGGCAGCACAATGGGGGAAAAAAGGAAATAAAAAGAATACCTTTTAACAGCAACTATGTCTGAGAACATTCCAGAGTGTCTCCTTAGTTTTTGTTATTGCCTTATCGGTATTCTCATTTCCAGAGGAAGGCTAAACCTGGAATCTAAATTCCTGATCCTAATTTGGCCAGAGATGCTCCATTATCATGTCCCTGTTTTAAGTATTTCAGCAAAATGTGTGTGTGTGTGTGTGTGTGTGTGTGTTTTAAATCGGTCAAAAATTGCTTTCTTTCTTTTAAAGTAAGTATAATTTAATAGTAAAGTCCCACTTTAAATCTTCATCAAGGTATGGATGTGATCCTAAGTCCTCAAAGTCTGCTAAGATCTGGCAGCTCTTCCCAAACTGGAAGGGGCTTTGAGCAGATATAGAGAGGGAATACATATCTACTGTCTGAGAAACATTTAAGTAACAGGAGAGAAGCCCATTGCTAAAAGATGGGCCACTGGGTAGTGATTTTATTTTATTTTATTTTTTAAGCACAGCAATTCAATAGTATTGTGTACCAGGACGTGAAGGGAATGAGATGTGCACCAGTGAAGAGTGACCCCAAACTGATGAAATCCAAGTTTCTCTGGAATTGTGGAAGTATTGGAATGTAACTACTTTCCAAAAGCCCACCCTTTATATGAATTATGAATAGGCAACGTGACAAAGTGATGAAGTAAATCACACACACACACAGACACACACACACACACACACACCTCATGAATTTAGGACAAGTTTTCCAGTACTCCAGTAATACAGATCACAATCTATGTTTGCCTGTACGGTATAGGTGTGAGTCTCCTCCATGTCCTCCTCTAAATTCACTTTAGGTAGCCTGCCTAATGTAATGGGGAGGAAGGCTGCCTCAAGTTCTTTTTATTGATGAGGAAGAAAAGAGTGCTTGAGGCAGATGGAGAAAGCAGGATATGAGATAAGATGCTGGATGTGACTAGCCAGGAAAGTGATTAAAGAAGACTAGGCATTGAAGCCCCCACCATGGACTTGTCTGTGTGCTTTCACAAAGCACCCTCAATTCCAGAACAACTCAGAACAACTCTTCCCTTCCCCTTTCCTTTCCTGTTACCTTTGATTATCACCTTCAGACTACCTGATATCCCAGACATTTTAGAGCCCTGTTTGCTCCTCTCATTCTCTTGTCCCCTTCCCCCATTACATAAAGTTGTATTTAAACCGTACCTTTGACCTGGCTAACAGCCTTTGTCTTCTACGGCAAGCAGGGGCTACTCATCTCCCTTATGGGAGCAGGGCCTGGGGCCTGTACTCTGTCTCCCATGTGGAGTAGAGCCCATTGGGGCTCTGCCTCACGGAGAGCAGGCCCACTTGGATACATCACTCCAATAAATGCCTTTAACTTAGAGACTGTCCGAGTAATTTCTTTCAGGACACTAGGACTCACATATCTATTCCTCATCATTTCAGGTAGCATTTCTAAATTCTTGGGGTCCACCCCAGACTCATCACCAATGGCTACAGAGAAGGTCTAAGTGAATTCTTTCATACCTGAACCAGCCTCTCCCAACTCTAACTCCAACAACATGTTGGATAGATACCAATGACTCTCCTCTCTTTTGTAACCCACCAAACATGGGATAAGAATATTCATTTGAAGCAATTTCAGACTATGTTATTGAAAAAATGTCTATATCCTTTGACCCAGAAATCTCACTACTAGGCACATGCCATAAGAAGAGCAATGATAAAAAGAAGAATCTCAAAGAAACCAAAATATTTTTAACAGTATTATTTTTCATTTGAAAAGAAATGAGATGCCAATTTACTATCTTTAAAAATTGTGGTACATGAATGTCATGTAGGAATCCTCAATCTTTTTTTTGTCTCGTGGCCCCCTTTGGAAGTCTAGTGAAGTTTATAGACCCTTTCTCAGAATTATTGTTTTAAATGAATAAAATTAAATACATAGGATCACAAAAGAAAAAAATCATATCGAAATACAATTTTCAAAAAAAATTCTTTGCAGACTCTATGTTATGAAACTTTTTTGTTTTTTTTAAATTTTATTAATTTATTTTGATTTATCAACAATCACTTCCATATGCTTTTGAGTTGAAAATTTTTCTCCCCCTTCCTCTCCCCTACCCTCCCCAAAACGGTGCACAATCTAATATAGGTTTACATACTCATTAAACCTATTTTCACATTAGTGAAGTTGTAAGTGAAAATTAAAACCAACAGGAGGAACCATCAGAAAGATGAAACAAAACTCAACAGAAGGTAAAAATAAGTGATAGCGATTCGACTTCCATAGTTCTTTCTTTGGATGTAGACAGCATTTTCCATCCTGAGGTCTCTGGAGATGTCTTAGATCCTCATAATGCTGAGAAGGGTTCAGTTTAACAATCTTAGTCACTGCATAACGTGACTGTTATTGTGTACAAAGTCTTCTTGGTTCTGCTCACTTCACTCAGCATCAGACCATATAAGTCTTCCCAGGTTTTTCTGAAGTCAGCCTGTTCATCATTTCTTATAGCACAATAGTATTCCATTACATTCATATACCACAACTTGCTCAGCCATTCCCCAATGGATGGGCATCCTCTCAATTTCCAATTCTTTGCCACCACAAAAAGAGCTGCTATGAATATTTTCGTACATGTGGGTCATTTTCCCATTTGTTTAATCTCTTTGGGATATAGCCCTAGAAGTGCTATTGCTGGATCAAAGGGTATGCACATTTTTGTAGCCCTTTGGGCATAGTTCCAAATTGTTCTCCAAAATGGTTGGATCAGTTCACAACTCCACCATATGTTATGAAACTCTTAATAGAATGGGATATTACTATCCTGTAAAAAATGATGAATACAAAGAAACGTGGGAAGATATATGAAACGATGGAAAGTGAAATAGCCAAAGCCAAGAAAACAATATTTACAGGGACTAGAACAGTATAAATGGGGAAGGGGAGAATCAATGAGTACTGTGAAATTATAATGACCAGGCTTGGCTCCAAAGAAGAGATATGGCTTTGCAACTCCCTCCCTTCTTAGCAGAGGTGGACAACCATGGGTATATAACACTGAATACAATTTCAAACTCATTTGATGGGTTCATTGATTTTGCTGAACTACATTTTTCCCCTCTTTTATATAAGGGATATCTCTCTAAGAGGGGAAGGGTATAATGGAAAATGTAAATGATGTCAAAACAAGATAATCAATAAATTTTAAAAATAAAATCCATCTCAGAAAGCATCTTCTCCCAATGACTTTTAGATGATACTATGCCAGAAAACATAATCCAAATGCCTTGGGTCATTCTACTGATGCACTCTTATTTGCATATAAAAAGAAATCTTTACAATTAAAACCAAATAGTTGCATCTCCTATCTTCTATGGTCAATTAGATGTGACTTTAGCATTCACACAATTATAGCAGGGAGAGAAAGCAATGTCAGAAACTCCAATACCTCCTAGGTATCTGTCAGAAATGTCAACTAGGCTTTTCCACTAGAGGATCTGAAACCTTTCAGCAAAGGTGGAAAAGTACTGATAATCCTACAATGTAAAGCCTGTGCCCTTCTGGTGAGGGTGCAACACTACTTATAACATTGGTAACAATTCTAGAAGGAACCAAGCATAGGGTAAGTTAAGACAGTTATGCAACACATTACAGTTCCACTAGGCTACGTTCTTTCTTCCCCCATACTAATCTCTATCACCCAGTTTATTATTTGGAAGTAAAAAATACAAATCAATTCCTAGGGATGTTGAGGAGACCAATCCTTTTTTATTGTGGGTGTAGAAAGCTCCCAGTACAGGGAGAAGCTGATGGAGTTTAGAGAAAATTCAAGAAAATCAGCTCTTCCCACATTCGCTGTACCTTCTGATTTAGAAACTCACTGCTATTTCCAGCCCAAGTAACATCCTCCTCCTCTCCCATTCGCCTCCACATGACATGGGCCCATCTAAGAATATAACTTCAAGTAAAGAAATCCTATCATAAGTGCTTATTCTCACTGGCAAAACTGAAACCTGGAAAGCTCAGGCCTGTGGGACAGAACTTTTGAAGGGCAGGCAAGCCGAGGCTCTCATAGAGAGTTTCACTGGCCTCCTAGGGCTCTATTTTAGATGAGGCCCCTCTCTGATTACATAAAAGAGCATTTAAAAATTATGACAGAGAGAAAGGTGGACAATAGGTAAAGGTAGAGAAAAAGAGATTCATTAGGAAAAAGATATCCGCCCTTTTGAATTTTCTTTTCCTAAATAGTAGTATCATACCCTACCATCTGACGTTTTCCCTACTACAGATGTGTGTGTGTGTGTGTGTGTGTGTGTGTGTGTGTGTGTGTGTGTGTGTGTAGAGACAGAGATCAGAGACAGAGGGAGAGAGAGAGAGGGACCTAGAGGGAGAGAGAGAAGGGGGGGAGATCAAAATCTGTACATTAATTTCAATTTCAAGAAAATCACAAGGTGCTTTTAAGGAGTGTTTGAGATGCCAATAATATACTTAGTTCAGTTCATGAAGATTTGCTTTCTACTACCAGGCTCCTAAGCATTATAGGCAAATATTCTATAATTGATCAAAGAAACAAGTCAGGACTAGTAGAATGAGGTCAGGGATAGTGGTGGGGGAAAAAAAGTGAAGTAGGGAGAGGCAAAAGATGA